TCATTTACAAAGGACATATAGCACTCTCTGTCAGAGACATGCCCTTATAAAAGAGGCCTTTGTCTGCTCACTAATGTGCTTCTCTTAGAGAAACAGAGCACAGGTTTTTCCCCCAATTCCTTTACTATATTTAAGAAGAAAAAAAAAATGCTTACAGGTACATATCCTTTTGCAAATAAGCTTCCTCAACATTCCTTCATATTTTCCATAGCGTGCCCAGATGTAACAGTGCTTCACGGAGAGCTGCGGCTTTCAGTCCAGGACATAATCAATCATTGCCCCTCGTATTCATTAAGCATGCTGTCTTCACACATGGATTTAAACAGCTATGGCTTCAGTCCTGTTTATACCACCGCGGCTCCGCAGCATTCACATCAACACCCGTTTTAGCCCAGGAAACTTCAGGTCACTTCTAGGAAGGAAATTCCCTGCTAGCGAGGGGCACAAATAATCCGTGATGAAGACGAGTCGGCTCTGGCTTGCCGGGCTGGCTTGTGCTAGGAACCAGCCTGACTTTATCCCCTGGGAAGCGCTAACAGGAGCATCTCAACAGCTGTCATCATTTGTCCATGACGAATAAATTTAGTCATTATTCATTTTAAAACGTAACCCCTTCAGGTCTGGGCAAGGTGTAAAACGAGGAGAAGAGAGTGTGCTCATTGTTCAGGAACCACAGCAAATAAGGGCCTGCGTTTTCCGTACCTGAACGATCAGCCTGGGACCCTTCAGAGCAAAGTAACTGAGTCTCAAACGTCTTTTCCAACGAAAAGAAACGCTTTCTGTTTTTTAAAAACTTGAAGATGTTAGACTGAAATCTTTTAGTTATTTACCTGCTTTAGACAAGAGAGCTACTCCATGGTGACTACAAATTAGAAAGAAAAGCAGAAAAGCTCATGTCTGTCCTAATGAAGATGCCTCGCTCGGGTGTTCAGGCCTGACCTTGCAAGGTACTGAATCCACTCTTAGCATGATGTGCCCATTTATCATACGCCCCATGCCCAAGCATCAACACTTGGACTGAAGGGGGCTGGCAACTTCCAAGGTTTCCTTTTACAGCACATACCAATTTGATTTTTCTTTTTTAGTCAGTCACACATTTAAATGTAACCAGCTAAATCTCTATTTTGACATCTAAATAGACTGAAGCAAAGCAGAATCTGCAGATGCTCCTGAGGTTTCTTCCATTTCGTTTTTAGCTCCTCATAGCGAGCAACCTATTTCAGAAACGCTGGCCCAAAGGAATCTATTGATCTCCATTAGAAGGCATTTTAAAACAGTATACAAGAATATTGCAAAAAACCTTACAAAAACAACAAAATAAAGACACTTTCACCTGTACATCGCTCATTTAAAAGACATCCGTGAGTTGGCTGTGCAAAAGCATTACTACTTGCCACCCTCATACCTCCTGTGAAATGCATTAGCTGGTTTTTGCTCAAGTATTAACAAACTGACTGCATCTTTCTCAGGCTTTTGGGTCCAGGTGAAGTTGGACAGCATAGGAGCAACTTGCTTGCCTTCCCACCCTGCACAGCGCACGTGTCCTGCAGAGGCACACACTCAACTGCTGAAGCTGAAATACATTTCAGCATATCAAAATCCCACGCTCAGCGCAACTAGGTGCTGAACTCTGAAGCTTCGAGGGCACGCAGTAAACGC